ATAAAATACAATTTATACTAACTTAAATAATTTGTACTGAATTGAAATATAATTTACATTGAAATAAAATACAATTTATACTAACTTAAGTAATTTGTACTGAATTGAAATATAATTTACATTGAAATAAAATACAATTTATACTGAATTAAGTAATTTACACTGGATTAAAATATAATTTATACTGAAATAAGATACAATTTATACTGAATTAAGTAATTTATACTGAATTGAAATATAATTTATACTGAAATAAAATACAACTTATACTGACTTAAGTAATTTATACTGAATTAAAATGAATTCATTGAATTAGAAAATTTAAATTAGTGTGTTCATTCAGTAGTGTTATACTTCGATTGGTAATTTCAGTTATTTAAAAAAAAAAAAATCTTTTGGTCCGATTTAAAAGGTTGTGCTTTTAAAAATATTTGTCAAATTTTTATACATATACAAACATAGTTTGTCATATGTAATTAAAGTAATTAATACAGGATCATTCGTCATTTCAAATAACTCGGAGAAAAAAAAGAAAAATTCAAAAATCATGAAAAAAGATTTGATTCAATTTCAAAAAATTATTTAAATAATTTAAATTAACAAAATAATTGTATTTGCATTAGTACTTAAATACTTTTCAACACCAACTAATTGGTACTTCAAAATCTTTTTGCTTTATTTGATTCTCCATTTGAATATTAATTATCCAAATCACTTAATGTTATAACAAGCAATTTACCTGTAATTTATCAATGTAATACATCTTTGAAAACTGTTACATAATTTGAAAGAATAAATAAGTAAACAAACGAATTAATCAATTAATTAATTAGCTAATTAAATAAGCAAATAAACAAATAAATAAATATTCTTAACAGTGTAAAATAACTTTATCGTAAATTTTTCCATAATAATTGGGAAAAAAAAATTTTGAAAATAAAAATAATTTATGAATGCGAAAATGAAATCTTTCTTCTGTTACAGTAGTAAAAAGCTAAATTGGGCTAATCTAAGATTAAATTCAGATCAATAATGATATCTCATCTCCTCTCCTCTAAATGCGAATAAATGATAATGAATGAGAGAGGAAACTTATGATACATGATAACAATCGGTCCAGATCATTCCGATTGCTTGATCAAGCCAATCAATAAATTCATACTGGCAAAAAACAATCGCAACAATGTAATTTACACCTGTCATAAAGTTTCTAGGACTTTCACAAAAGCAGGATTATATTTGGTGTATTTTACTTCTCTTATCATCATATGCACTGTGAAGGTCATTAATCTAAATTGTCATAATATCAATTTATTTGTCACATGTTCCTACTTATCCATCTGTTTTGTTTTTCTTATGTTTGTGAATATTTTTAACACAAGTTTATAATTGGTTTACTTAGGTTTGTTTATTAATCTCTAGGTTTGCCTGAATTTTATTAATAATATTTTTATTTCAATTCTTCTTTCAATGTTTCCATTTCCGATCTTATCCATTGTTTCTTTGAAGTATCATTGCTTCCTGAGCAGAAGTTTTTGTCATATAAAGAGTCACTTGAACATGTCATACGAAACTAATTTCAGATTACTTAAACGAATAAAGCCAAAGAACTCCAGTCTACATCATCACGCGTATTCGACATAACATTTCGATTAAATTAAAAAGTATATGTTATGCTTGAAGGAATACGGAAAATAATATATTTCTATTTCCAGTATGCACTCTCTTATATGAATATATAGTAGAAATGTCTTTAATATTATATTAACCAACGCTACTTGAAGTTCTGCGCAATTATCATCTGTATTTCCAAATTTATTCATATTAATATGTTTGTGAACCTACCTATCGAGAAATTATTAACCGCTACTGATCATAATGAGGTATACAGATATGAGAGTAATTGAGTTATATATATATATATATATATATATATATATATATATGTTTCTGTAGTCATGTTAAAATTAGTAATGATAACAAATGCATAATGGAAACATTACACATTAGATAACATCAGTTTATTCCCTACGATTTTTCGAAGAAAAAAAGAACAAAAAGTGAAATGAGCAAAAACGAAAGCTCTAAAAGTGTGTCACATAAATTTGAAATCTTCGCAGACCTGTTCACTTCCACACTGTTCCATATGAGTGAATAAAACAGTCACGATCAATATCAAACTTTATAATTTCCTAACCGTATAATATTTTCACAACAGTATTACTCCCTTAAACTATAGTACAAAA